ACCAATTAATTCTTATAAGTTATTCCTAACTGTACCGTCCCATACCAGCACAGTCTCTGGAATCCCTCTCTTTCGGGTGTTGATTCGATTCATTCATGAACCCCCAAGCTGCAAGATTTGGCATGAGCCACTCATTGTCCGTGCCCTTTCGCACCGACGATCACTCCCTGCCCTTGCCAGCTCTTGGGATGTTATAGGTGTTGTGTTCTGTTTATTTATTTAATTGTGCGGTGGATCTTCACTTGTATCATTGTTTGCTTCCTTATCTCTGAAGTTATGTTAAAAAGCGATTTAGGCGCGATGAGTCCATCGCGCCCTCTGATCCTTTATGCACGATGAGGACATTGCGCTTTGTATTGGGCCTTGTTGATTTAGGCCTTGATCTTTGGGCTTTTAACCTTTAGTGAGCCTACTGTATTTTACCCATATCAGTTTCCCCCTAGCTCGCAACTTTAGTATTTACAAAGTTGTGAGATATAGATATTCTCTGTGCGCGGTATGTCTTTGCTGTGTTCAATTGATGTCACATGTATCGGAAGATCATCATTACCTTGCCGCTTAGAACGGTTGATTAGATGTTTAACTGTCAAAAGCATTAAATACCACCATAACTACGTAGGTGTTTTAATAATAATCGTGGGACGTTTTAAGCTTCAAATGTTCTACCTTCTTTCCACGTGCCCTCTTTTTATCCGTTTTACTCAACACGTTTTAACCTTTTAGGTTTCCTTGCGGTGACTTTTCATATTTGTACTGAGCTGCTGTTTGGAGGAAAGTTCATTCTAAGTATCAATATCTCTTGCAAAAGACTTTCTTCTCTAATATTCCTTCTTCGACGAACTTCCCGGGTGTTGACACGTCCTGTTATCCACTCCATAGTTGAAGTATAAAACTTCAGGTATGCTGTGATTCTTTCATTTATTCCACTATTCTCGTTTCTTTGCTTTTTTCCTCCCTTTTTGAGTTTAGGGTATGCCTGATAATCGCAAATTTGTGAATTTTATTAGAATGTCCGAAAGGTCTGGGTCCACCAGTCCTCCATCAAGATCCTTTCCTAGGTCTCGGTCTTTGGGAACTGGGGAATGGTGGCTGACGGACAAGGATGTTGCACCTTGGGAGAATATTAAAAGTAATAATAGTGCTTCATATGTTCGCCGTTATAGTGAGGCTGGACCCTCATCACGGAAACCTAATTGAGGGATATCTAGGACCAGAAATTGACCTTTTTTTTATAAGAAACAAAAATAAGGATTGCATTTTTTGTTAGAGACCCAAAAAGAACTTTACTATAATATAAATCAGATCATAAGCATATATTATAAGACTCAACCTTTAAGTCTCTAGATTCGGCTTGTATTTTTTATAATTAATATTTTATTATTTTTAGAAGACCTAACCTTAAGTCTCCAAGATCGGGTTATGGTGTGGTTTTAGCAATTGCTTGTTAAGGACCTACAACTTGATTTTTCATTGGCCTGTTTTGGCTTGGTCCATTTTAAAAATATTACAAACTTTAACTCATTAAAAGGTCTCTATAAAAATCAGGTCACAAAGTCTATTTTATAAAACTGGCCTCGAAGCCTCTAGGCAAAGCTTATATTTTTGAATAAATAATATTTTATTATTTTTAGAATCTAAGTCTTCCCGGGTTATGGTGTGGTTTCAGCTATTATATTATTTTGACTTTTCATCAACTTAAACATACAAAAGAAACAAAATAATTATAACCAATAATTTACAAATTGCAACATGTCATTTTTGAAGGCTTAGTAGGCATGATAGGTCAAGTCAAGTTTTGTATTTTTTTAAAAATTCAGACTAAACTTATAATTTGACTTATCTCAAGTTAACAAGTCACATCTAGTTTGAAATATTTTATATAGATTTAGCTCGTTTAGCCTAAAGTCTTGCTCGTTTATACCCTTATTCCTGGTCCTACGACACTATAGAAATAAAATACAATTGATGCGGTTAAAAATAATTGTTTGAATTTAAGATTGAAAATTAATTTTTTTAAAATTATTTGAAAAAATATCTTTAATCCTCATTGTGATGAAATTGTAAAAACAAAATATATATTAGGAATTAATAATTAAATAATGAGAATAACTCAACCAATTACAAGTGCTAAAATAGATGAAAATTAACGGCTAAAATTAAGTTTGTGTTTTATTATATTTACACTGGTATAAATTGATTTTGACTCACACATATATATATACTATATAGCTTTTGCCTGTAAAAAAAATTGTATCATTGCCGACCTACATTAATCCCTAATCTATTTTTTTAAATTATTCTTTAATCCCTAAAAATTGACAAATTAAATTCAATTATCAACTATCAATTTCATTAATATTTATATTCCTAAATTTTTTTTAATCGGCATTAATTTAAAAATTAACATATATAAACACTCATATTGAGAAAGAAATAATTCACTATAAAATAAACTAAAACATTGTCTAATAGACTAGGTGGATTTTTTTTAATTTTAATAAGTATTGATTACATTTTTTTGAAAGAAAAGTACTCTCTCAACAAAAATTTAATTAAAATTTATTTGTAATATAAAATAAATTTATTCAACTATTTGTAATAAAATTGTTGAAGGGAAATAAAAGATAAATTTTTTCATTTTAATCAAATATTATCTTATATGGGATTTTTTTAATTAAAAAAATAAAATGAAATATTCTTATGTAACTCTTTATAATATTTTGCAACTTTTTTATTTAAAAAAAAAAATTATTTATTTTTCCTCCAAACAAATTTCAAGGAAAGAATTATTAAAGTATAAATAAATTTATAAATGAAATTTAGATTTTTCCTGAGATTTTCTCACACTCTTTAAGCGTGAAGTTAATATCTTCACACATAAAATAATGAAAAAAATATTTCTCATATAATAGAAAATAAAGTTATTTTCGACAATCCTATGATTTAATTAAAAAAGTATATGGTATTTTAGCAATGTTACTTTTTTTTATATCGTGTATTTTACTCAAATTTCTATATTTTTTCCTAAACCTCAAAATAACATCGTTTTGGGATTGCAAAAGATAACTTTATCTCCTGTTGTAGAAGAAATGTTAATCCTTAAAATAATATCTTTAATCCATTAGCATAAGCATTATGTTTTAGGAAATTGCTTACAAGTTAACTTGAGAAATAATAAATTATTATAGAAATAATATAAGGGAAATTATCTGCATTTATTCCCAAAACGACGTCGTTTTGATATTGGAATCTTAAAAAATTATAAATATAAAGACTATTATAACCTGAAATAAATTAAAATTACAAAAACATCATGATTTTCGCCTCAAAACGACGTCGTATTGGACTTACTGCAGATAACTTATCTGCAATAACTGCAGAAAAAGCGAACCCATAATATAATATAAAATAAAAATCAGTCTTGTACAATTATGTTTTTGGATGAAAAAAATCCTAAAAGGCTATTTAAAAATGTAACGATTTGAAAGTTTTTTTTTTAATTTTTTTTTACTATAATCAAGATTTCATAGGATTTGAAAAGATAATACAGGTCTATAAAATTTTAAAAAATCATATAAAAATTTAACAAATATTCAAAGTTATAAGAATTAATAAAGAAGATGATAAAAATATGCAATAATATTAATAAAAAATTAATTCTAATGTAGTTTTTTCAATCTTATAATAATTTATTGGGAGGTAAAAATACCTATAAAGCACCGACACTTCAAAAACTCTGACGTGTCGTGTCCGACACTCTCCGACACACCGACACTCTCCGACAGTTCAACATGTGTTATAGAAATTCAAAAAAAAAAGGTACAAAGTTTACGTTGCATTGAGTTTTTAGTTCCAACTATTAGATTCGTTGGATTACGATTACCATTTCATTGAGTTTAATATAAATATTTGGGATATCTTATGTTTCTTTGCAAAATTGATGAATATTATAAGTTTAGTTTCTTTTTTTTTTGTTAAATTACTGAATATTAAATATAATATACACTATATAAATTAAAAATATTATTTAATATCAAAACGTGTCCTAACGTGTCAAAATCTAATATTTTTTAGAATTAACGTGTCAGAGTGTCGTGTTGTATCGTGTCATGTGTCTCGTGTCAGTATCGGTGCTACATAGATAAATACTATGTCATTCTTATAATCTCATGGGCTAGGGTGAGATTATGAGAATGACATAGTATTTATATTTTCCAATAAAAAGTCACATAAAATTCACACTAACACAAAATTTATTTAAATCATCAAGTTTTTAACATTAAGGATTTATTTTAAAATCTTTGAACATTCTATAATTTATTTAATTATCTTAATTAAATACAACATGATTTTTTTAGATTACTTAAAAAAATTCATTAAATACAAATAATTTTTTTTGGTAATCTAATACAATTTTAAAATTTTAATTTTAATTTTTTTTAAATTGAAAATGTGTTTGTTAAACAAGGGAGTTTTTTTTATTATCTTTAAAATTATGATTCAAAATGTTATTTTTTTATTGTAATTTATTTATTTTTGCTTAAATTAATAGTTTTTTAGAATTTGAATTCAAATTTAGAAGGTGAAGGCTCTCCAGCCCACCTTACGTTCATTTGCAACAATACTAGGTATTGCATGTGGAATGATCTTACATTTTTTTTTATCTTTGCATAATTCGTGTCACCTTATCCACTTCGGACAAATACAAGTCACAAACTCCATAAAGTTAAAAGTAAAAACCTTGTGTGTGTACTGGTTACTCAATTTTGAAAAATCAAACATGCCATTCCAAAATTGAAGAAAAAAAAAAAAGATATTTAAAAAATGGGGGCCATGACCCATGAGATGACAATGATGAGAGGTGGGGTTTGCCTGGCTACCACCACTGACCAATTTCTGCTTCCCAAAGCACCACTCTCATTTCTTCTCTGTTTTTTTATTTCTTAATTCGGTTTTATTTTTTTTATTTCCTAATTATATTAAAAAAGAATCAAATCAAAATTCTCCATTCCTCTTTCAATATTCCGAAGTGCTATCCTCTCTCCTCGTTCTTCTCTCTCTCTCTCTCTCTGCTCTCCAACTGTACATGTTGGAAATTTTGTGCTGTCCCTTTCCTTTTGTTTTGGTCAAAAACCGAACACCTAACCGTTTTGGTGAGTGCTGGAGTGAAGGGGCGTCCCACAACGTGTCTTCTTTGACATTTGGTTTCAAATGGGGAAGAGGGTTTCACTCTTTTAGGTTGCATAGTTCTCCCAGTTGAGCACAACGACAAGACCAAGAAACTCGTTGAAAAGGTTGGTTTCTGCAATTTTTCTTGTATGCCCACTATCCGGTTTGTTATCATAACTGCTTAAAGCAAACAACTTGGTCGCTTGTAATTGGTTTTTGGGAGCTCTTAGGAGAAGAGTTAATTGATGGAACCTTGAAAAGTAACCTCACCTCCTTCACTTACCCAAGTCTGCTTCCTTATCGTGTTATACATGCTTGTTGAAAATTTTACAACTTTTGATGTTTTTAAGGATTGGGTCGGGTTTGCTTTTGAGGGTTAATTTGAAATTTGATACGATGAGTATAGGTGAAGATTCAGAAAAAAAAAAAAAAAAATGCAATTCTGCTGTTTAGTTTAATTTTTTGTCTAGTATAGTTGCAGAATTGTCTCAGAACAGTATATGTTATATGCAGCAGATTTTCTTAAAGCATTATATGTATGATGATGTGTACTATTTTAGACAGCTATTTTTATGTAAGATAATCAACTTTTGGTATCTTATTAGTTGTTAGAGAAGAGGCTGTCTCCTCCTTTATCCATCTTCTTAACTTCCGTTGTTGTTGTTGTTGTATATTTTATAAAAGGGATTTTAGTTTTCACTGTCTTGGTCTCTTCCTCTTTTTTCTTCTGCAACGCTTTCTTTTTTTGTAATTTGCACTCTATTAACTTGAATTTGAACTTGCTGTATTTTCTTTTTTATGGATAAGGTGGTCCTTCTTCCTTTATTTTCATTCATGGGGAAGATCACTACTTCTGCAACGCAGCCTGTATCTCAAGAAGCTTCCAATTACGATGAGGTTTTAATGCAGCAGAGCTTGCTCTTTGATGATAGTCTGAAGGTACTTATAATCATGCTTTATAGTTGGGGAAATTTGTTTCTTTTTAGACTATAACTCTGATGACTCAAGCCCTTGTTTACACTGATAAGATCATTGTCTAATGCATCTGTTGCTTTAATTAGATAAGAATTCTTAACTAACTGGGCTCTAGACCTCTAGTTTAGAAATGTTTTGCTAATTTTTACTTTTTATTTTTTTCATCTCTGTTCCTAGGACTTGAAACATCTGAGAACACAATTATACTCAGCAGCTGAGTATTTTGAACTCTCATACACCAACGATGACCAAAAACAAATGTGAGTTACTGTGCTAGAGCTGGTCTATATTTATGCTGATATTGTTTTACCCCTTATATCCCCTCTTTTATTGTTTTTTTCTTTTTCTATCTTATGTTTGTAGAGTGGTAGAAACATTGAAGGATTATGCCATCAAAGCTCTTGTAAATACAGTGGATCATTTAGGTTCTGTGACCTATAAAGTGAATGACTTGTTGGATGAGAAGGTTGTTGAAGTTTCTGGAGCAGAGCTACGTGTATCTTGTATTGAGCAGGTTTACTTGATAATCTCTGTTCACCCTCATAAAGAAAGTCCATTACATTGATGCTGAAAGTAATTGCTAAGATTAAAAATTTGATTTACCACTATCATATATTATTGAAATTATCAACATGATTTGTTAGGTGACATAATTTCTTGAGATAGAAGAAATTAATTGCTTTGAGTTGCTGAGAATTAATATGTTAAAGGCATGCTGAAAAACATTTCATGTATAGCTCTTCGCCTTTGTTCACTGAGACTCCAGGACATTTATAAAACATCTAGTTACCTAAATGTTTTTATTGCTTAGTTTTGTATTCCTCAAAGAGAACTTATACTTAGAGTTTTTTGCATTATATATTTATCCATAAATTGATGAAAAAGAAAAGGAAAGTGAGAGTTCTGCAATCACAGAACAGGTTAAAGTCTTTAATTGAAAAATTCTTCAGAAGTTTCATTTGCTATGCTGCTTAATTTTATAATGATAGTATTATTAAATGAACTTGATATTCTAGATAACATTCGTTCTTGTTTTTTAGCAAGTTCTTTTAGAGAGTAATGTGAATTTTTAATATCAGATAATGGTGGTTTGGTGAATGTCCCTTTGGGAAACTGTATCTGGCAAAAGCACAATGGTAGTAATATGAAAGATCAATAGACCTTGTAGTTAATGGCTGATATTGATGACCATAATGAATCTATGCCTGTCTAAGAATTATCTGTATTTTACATACAAATTTTGAGTAAAAGCCTTGCTTCGACAGTACCTTGGTATTCGTGTGGCTGTTAAATGACTTGTTAAGATACCTGGTCCCATTCAATTCAAAGTATAATTTTTCATCTGCAGGGGCTTTGAAGATTGTCCCTTCTTGATATTATTGAAATTTGAATTATTTATCATATTAGGAAGAGAAATTTTGTTATGATCACTAATATTGTTTTTCCTCAATGCGGTACATTAGAGAATAAGGACTTGCCAAGAGTATATGGATCATGAGGGGCGTACCCAACAGTCATTGGTGATCAGTACTCCAAAATATCATAAGCGATATATCTTGCCAGGCAAGTATATATTACATTCTACTCAACTCTATCTTCTTATTTGGCTTCTTTTCTTTTTCCATTTCTATTATGTTTTGTTCCTGTTACTATTAGAAAGCATGTTTATGATGTTAAATGATCACATTCCTTAAATTTGTAAGTTTAGTTGGGGAGACCATGCATGGTGCCAACCGCACAAAGTCAAAATATGTAGGGTGCAACCTAGATGATGAAGATGACTGGTCTCACTTTAGGAATGGTATCTCTTTTACTCAATATTTTAATTCATCTTATCCAGGGACTAACCTTAAATATAAGCTTATTTCCTTTTATTCTGTTTGTATCCAAAAGTTGTTCGAGCTACGATTAGAGAAACCCCTGCATCTACGGCAAGGTAGCTACTAATTCTGCATATTATTATATGATTAAGTTGGTCAATGCTTTTCTAGGTTTCCTGAACTCTACAATGACTCCACGAGAATCTTGATGCAAATCTTTATTTCGAAACAGGAAAGGGCGATCTCCATCCCCATCGCCTTCTTTACATCCTCAGAGACCTGGAGCCTTTTCATTCACTTCAACCATGCCCAAAAAAGATTCAGGTTTTATTGTATACACATAGACATAGTATAGTATGATATCTCCAAGAGTTCATTTGATTATTACTGTTATCTTCCATATTGGTTCCTCACCCCATATTTCTTTGTCCTTTTCTTGTGAAATCTCATTACTATTTGAACTTACAATCTTTTCACTTGTATTGAAGAGAAGCGGTCAGTTTCACCATACCGGTTCCCACTTTTACGGACTGGATCTCGGTCAAGTAGGCCTACAACACCAAAGAAGAGTAGACCAACTACTCCAAATCCAAGCAGACCAACCACACCAAATCCTTCTAATGCAAGACAAAGGGTGAGTGTGACATAAATCATGATTGTATGCTCATTACATTACGAATAAGTTATGTAGTTTCTTTAACTGTATCTCCATTTTTGTTTCAATCAGTACCCTTCTGAGCCGCGCAAATCAGCTTCAATGCGATTACCTGCGGAAAGAGACAATGGCAAAGATGTAGAACACCACCCCAGTAAAAGTAAACGTCTTCTGATGTCCTTACTGAGCAGGCGCAAGTCTAAGAAGGATGACATGCTATACACATACTTGGATGAGTACTGATACGGTAGAATCTGTAGGAAGCAAGGGAAGGATGTCATAGGATCATGGAAACAAGTCAATTTTGCTTGCTGGTCTTACCCATTTGGTTTGAGAGGTTGCACTTCCCTGTCATTTCAAATGAACATTTATACGGTAGCTTTTCCTTTTCTGTCTTTTGATTAATGTAAGCTCCCAATTATCTTGTGTGATGTTGTAATAGTTCAACCTTTATTTTTAACGATGGATCATGTTGTTATATAATTATTCAACAAGTAAACTTGGCTTCAGAGTGCAAGAAGAAGCAAGTTGAAATTCAGAGTGCCTAAAGCGCGAATCAAATCATGTTGTTTAAGCTGAATGACTCAGCTTTTTTACCATGATAATGTGAGAGAAGGAAACATTTTACTGCATTGATTTCAAATCCAAATATTATGGCTAAATAATGCACTGATATGCGAATGGAGTATGCGTGCATGACTTGTGCAAAAGCGAGTGATTCATATTGCAAGTCATGTATCACTACTTATGCAACTTGAATGTGTATAATTCTCATATGTGTCTCAGTGTGTGACACGTGATAAATGTACATTGGATTTTAGCATCCTGAACACTAATATTCTATGCGCATTTTATTGTATTATTTTGATAAAATATTTGAATTTAAAATTTATTCACGCTTTTGTTTTTTAAGATTATACAATCCTATTTTTATGGAAAATAAGATGTTCATGTTATATAAAAAACACTTCAGAATTTGAACAAGAGTAATTAAATTAATGTTACGTCTTAAAGAAACTAAGTAATTAACTTTTATCAGATTAACCTCTCAATCTATGTAATGTTAAATGTAATTTAATGATTTAATCAAAGGGAATTGGTTTAAATGATATATGTTTGATTCTGTTTAAGCAAAATTTTAGGTATAAGTATTTGTGAATGTAATTTTTTTTTGTTAAGAGAGCTAGTTCCACCATGATATGGATACTTCTGTTTCATATTAATAATATCTATAAGAAATGTCACTATCCCTATCAATTCTCATAATTTCTCGCACCTAAAGTGGATAAGCATCAATTCAGATTCGAAACCATGAACTTGTAGCCAACTACTTAAAACCTATTGTCATTTTCTTTCTAAATAAATGCATTATAAGTTTCGATACTTTCGATATTATAGCAAGCGGTTACAATTATTTATAGTTTTATACCCAAAAAAAAAAATTCTTATTACTAATTTTTATAAATTTTGAAAGAGGACGAACATTAAATATTAAATAAAAAATTCAAATAATATCAAAAAATTAGAAATAATGCTTGCTCCACCACTGACTTTCATTCAGGGTTAGCATAAATGAAAACAGAAGATAAAATTGAAATGGGAAAAACTACTTTCATATTGTTAGTTAGAGAGTAGGTTTTTTCTTACACACCCATCAATTTTTGTGTAACTCAATTTTTATTTATTTATTTTATAAGTGAATGAGATTCGTCCATGATTGTGTGTCTATGGTAGGAAAGAAGTACTCTTAACACATGAGGATAAACAAGCCCAACTTGATCAGGCCTATCTGGTTCAAGGAAGCACTCGGCCCAATATTCAATCTCCTCAAGATACTGCTCATGCAACGTCTTTGGTTCATAAACGCAACACTAATCACGATAGATAGAAGCAGATGAGAGTTGTAACTGTTTCTCAGTTGTTAGGAAGTTTGTTAGGAGGTTACGAATTAGTTTCTTCTGTTAATTTCTTGGTGCAGTATCTCTTCAGCTAACCTATATGTATATATAGAGAACTCGCTGTGTAATTGATGTGATCTGTAGCTCCTGTGTCAACAATCCATCATGTGTGCAAAATACCTGCTGGATTGGAATCAGTGTGAGAAACTTGTGTGAGGTTGGCAACGTGTGTGGAAGCTATACTATTGCTTGGAGTGGTATTGTGTGAGTTTTGAAGGAGTGACAGAATGTTTTGGTATTGTTCTGAAGTGAACTGATTTTGCTGTGGCAGCTCCTCAGCATGGATATTGACAGATTGCACATTGTTGCTAAGATGATTGTCAGTTCTTTGAACGCGATATCCTGGTGGATAGCCGTGGAGTTGGTAACATGTCTCCACCGTGTGATTATATTTGCCACAGTGTGTGCAGATTCTGTTACTTGATGTGCCTCGTCCAAAATTGCTTCTTCCACGTCCTCTGTTGAACCTTCCTCCTTGTTGATTAAAGGATCTATGACCTCCATTACCTGCACTATTGTTAAAAGCAGCAAAGGACTGTGGATTAGTCAGAATTCCAGTATGAGTTTCAGAGGAAAACTGTCTCTCTTGTTGAACTATCATCGAGAACACTTTGTTCACATGTGGCAATGGATCCACGAGCATCACTTGCGAACGAACTCCAGCATACTGTTCGTTAAGTCCCTTGAGGAACCTGATGACATGATCAAGTTGGGCTTGTTTATCCTCATGTGTTAACTCTCCTACAATGTAAGATTAATAAAACCCTATTTAAATACAGTTTATAAGTTGAATCTAGTACCAAAAGAAAAGAAGATCATAGCTAATTAGTAAAGGATATGTTATTCTACTTACATTTTTTCATGCTACCTTATCTATCATTTTCCAACACCGTTAGATCAAAATCTCAAAAGAAAAGAGAAATAGTAAATGTTAGTTGAGATTCTTATCTAACGGTGTTGAACAATGATAGGCATAAAAAAATTAAGTAGAATAATCTATCCCAATTAGTAATTATCCTTTTGAGATTCTTTTTATGTGTTATATCCTTGAGATAAAGATGTTTAGTAAGAAAAACTAGTGAGTTTATCTTGAATCTAATAGCTCCCTCATATATATGTGAGAAAGATACCTTCAAAATTAGCATATCAATGTCCACTAGTAATAACGATTTTGCCAAATGGGTGGTGTTTATGTACAGTAACAATGTAAAAATAAGAGAAATAATGTCCATACATATAAGTTTTACCTCATATTTATATGATTTACTTGTGGAGGGAGGATATTCTTACTACCAAATTTTCTACTGCTAACTTACTACCTATCTAATCACCATTGAATCAAAGAGAGAGAATGCTAAAAGTTTTTGAAAAAAGAGAAAATATGGATCCAATGGTGATTAGATAGGTAGTGAGTTGGTAGTAGAAAATTTTGGTAGTAAGAATATTCCTCCTCTTACTTGTGATAGTGAAATTCGGGACCTTTGGGGTTGCTTTTGGAGGCCTAACACTAGGTCCATAACTGTTGTACTAAGATTAACCTCAATAAAGAATTATTTCCTTTATCTGTACTAACTTCCTTTTTCTATTACCCTTTTTGGGCCTTGTATAATATGACCCTTTCATATTGGCCATAACAATATGATATAGCATTTACAAGATTAAAATTACTAAAACTCTGGAGTACATAATGAAATAAAGTTGGGCACATGATGAGTTATTGCTCATGGTAAAAATACGTTACTTGTTATCAAAAAAAAAAAAAATACGTTACAAAATTGATATAGATATAAAAGTATTTTTACTAATACACTAATTTAATCTTTATAAATATATATAAAGCATTTTTACTTTCTGGGATCTCCATTCCCTGGTGCAAAGGAAGGAGTGCAATTCTTCTTTGTCATTCTTCGGTATAAAAAGAGTCATTGCAGATGATATATTTAAAATTTTAGACATTCTCATAACATCAATTAATGACAAATTTCATTGCAGTTAAGTCAAACGTGATCTCACATATCTATGCATAGCATTTTCATCAGCAAAAATGATGGCCACTAAAAATTGATTACATACATTACACCTGAGTTTTCCAAACAATGTATTTGAAATCTCACCTTGTTTAATTTTAGTAGTTAGAACATTAATTAATAACAATTATTGCAGGTAAACGGGATAGGATGTACTATTATTGATCATGAGAACATACAATCATACACAAAAGACTACTCATAATAATACCAAAGAGAGGATACTCACTGAAAACTTTCCATTAGACTCTGTCAAGAGTCGTTTCACTTTGTCCGGTTGCAAGCTAATCTCACTTGTGCACACTACAACTTTATAATCAGAAAAACCTTGAGGGTATAACTGTAGCTCTCCTAAAAATTTAAATTGTTAAGTGAAGGAGATTAATTTTATATCTCCAACACATCCAAAAAAATTTATCTATGTTTGCACATTTAGTAGTGGTTGCCCCCGAAATTTATTTTTAAAGGAACTTTGTATCCCCACTTGCGTTCACTTGCACAAGAGTAGATCTATCATATTGTTGATGTATATAAAATGTCAAAAAAAAAAAACACGAGAAAAAGTCAAGAGAAAGCCCTTGCCACCACACCACGGTGCACCGATAAGAGATCTCAGGTTCAACATGGTATTGCATTGTGTTAACCATGCCATATTGAGTACTTCAAAAAAGTAGGTCCGTCAATGTACCAAAGGTTCCCATATGATTTTCTAGTTTTTTGAAGTCCACCAGTGTATCAAAGGTCCGCCACTGTACAAAACATAAACAAAACTTGGTATTTATTTATGGGTTTTATAAGAGTTATGTTGTAGGAAAAGTGATTGTGTTATGTTATAGAGATTCGTTTTGCGTGCCGAAGTTTTTTTTTTTTTGCTGCGGGCCCCACAAAATGTTGTGTGTGTAGGAAACTTTTTGTGGTAATGTTAAATGATAGATGATAAACCCTTTATTTATTTATTTTCAAAAGTTTCTGTCTGCAAGTGTAGACACTTGCTCACAAGTAGGTTCGCCGGTGCTCCAACGCAAGGTAGTTAAAAAAAATGAGATTTTACTTAAAAATGAATGGGAGATAAAAAAAAGTAAAAACTCTAAAAACATAAAAGAACTTTAAATATTGGTAAAAGTATTTTAATGAAAAAAATTCATAAAACTATATTTTGGTAAATCCACATTTTTTTTTTTTTGTAATAAAGAGGGGCAAAAGCCCCAAACAAAACAAAAATTACACGACGCGAGAACTTAAAAGATCTACAGAAGCATCCTGAAGAAGGAGCTCTAACAAAGGAGAAGGAGGAGAATGATAAACAATAAGATTATTATCATCCTCAAAATGCCTAGAAGCAAACCAGTGAGCACATCTGTTATTTTCTCGAAAAGTGTGGACCCAACGAACATCCCAATCTTCAGCAAGCCATTTGTGAATACGGGAAACAACCTGAGAGTTTCTGTGATTATTGCTCCCTTCTTGGATAGTGCTAAGAGCAATTTCTGAGTCACATTCCAACTCCACTCTCCTAGCACCAGTACCCCAGGCCAGCTCTAAGCCTTTGAGGATACCCCAGAGTTCTGCATCAAGAGGATTACAGAA